CTTATGGGCTTATTAACTATATTACAATGACAAACTGGTTTCTGAAAAGCATGCCATATGATATAAGTCAAAAATACCAACAATAACAATTCATATTTTAGATATTATAATCTTAAAATTATATTAGAGAAATGTTTATCAATTTGAAAAAGTCCTTTTGCAAATTAAGATCTTATTATAATCTCAAAGTCAATGTAATATGAATAGGCTATCACTCTGTGTGGTTCTCTCCACAATAAGCACTTGCCTTCCAAATTAAGGAAAGAAAATCATCAATCCTATCTCTCCCTGCTGTAGTCTTGTGAAGACGACAAACAGGAATTAAGTACTGTAAATTCATTAGGTGCCCTTGAAACCAATTACTTCTCTCTGTGAACTTCAAATGGATGTTTTCCATAGACTTGAAGTCTCCTAGCTCTAAATGTATAATTAAAAGGACTTACTTTTCAGATCTGACCTACTAATGTAGTCTAAAGCTCTACTGTGTGGGGGGGGGTTCTAAAAAGTAATAGTTAAAACTGTAAGATTTCTAATAAACAGGAGGGCAGATATTCTTATTAACATAAGTTAATATTATTCGTGCCTCAGGATCTTCACACAACTATTTCTTCTTTTACTTTTCCAGATTTCATCACCACAATCTTCACTGTCATCTCTCAAAGATTATTAATCTCCTCCTCCTTCTGCACTGCCTGACTTCTCCCAGATGGGATTGCTTCCATGTATGCTGACTCTCTAGTTATAGCAGTAATCCAGCCCTCCTAGTTCCTGCCATCTGTGCCATTAGATCACTATCTACCTCTTCAGTATCCCCTGCTAATTGCATTTGTTCATTTCCCACACATGCTGTGTGATGTGGTCTTTTGGGCAATAATTTATTCCTATTGTTTTGCTAGATGGGTTTTATATTAACAGATATTTTCCCTTGTCATATCACTATAGTATACAAAGACCTACATGATTAATCATTAAATTCTCCAGGCGATTCATGATGTAGTTGAAATGCAATAATACTTTAATTTCTCATAAAGTCTTAATTTTCTTCCCTGAAATTTTATACCAATGAAACACTTTCTTCTTCAGGATGATTACAAATTAAGGGTTGTCTAACAGCAGAGTTGTCTAACAGCATTCACTGTGTATCATCGTATCCAATAAGAGGCATCACAAGTAGAACACAAGGTAAGGAACAGGATTTCTTCTCCCTCAAAAATGTTTTCTGGGCTGGGAAGGTGGCCTAGTGCTAGATTCCTCAGCACCACATAAGCAGAAAAAACCTGGAAGTGGTGCTATGGCTCAAGTGGTAAAGCGCTAGCCTTGAGCTGAAGAGCTGAGGGACAGTGCCCATGCCCAGAGTTCAGGCAAAAAAAAAAAAAAGAAAAAATTTCTGGCCAAGATTAGGATGGTGTTGTCCAATTTATTTGCCTTTATCTGAAATATGTGTGTAAGCCTACCAGTGGTTAGATGGCGCCCTCAGTGAGACACAGGTGAAGAGCATGATCAACTCTATCATACCCACAGGCTGTTACACCTGCTGGCTCCTATTTTGTTAGTAATGAGCTTTATTCTTCTGTTCCCTTCCTTCCCTTTATTTTCCTTTTCCTTCTGTCTTTTATGTAAATATAATATACTTTTATATATATATATGTACTTTATAAACAATAGCAAGTTAGGCCTTTTCAAAAGAATATACAGGAAAACTACACATTGCAGGCATCATGAGTTGTGACATAGGGGTTACTGTGTCACAAGAGCATATCAGTGGATCTTGCAAGAGGATTGTGAGCACATGTTTTCCATTTGTCATGATGACAAGACAAAACATGAGTATGAGTGACAAATTTTGACTGAATTGATAAAGAGTATTCTGACATGTTCTTTGCAATTGTTAATCTCAGGGTTAAATACCACTTCTTAAATATGATCTAAATATTACTCTATTTAAAGTTAGAGATGGACAAAGAGAACTACTTAACTCTCCTACTCAAATAATTGAGTCTTGTATGTGAGTACAAGTATTTCTAACACATCAGTAGACCATTTGTCTTCCCAGGAATACTTCTGCAGCAGTATTTTACTTCATATAGATCTGTGGTCTGAAAAAAACATATTATCAGCCAGGTGCTGGTGACTCATGACTGTAACCCTAGCTACTCAGGATCTGAGGATCGCAGTTCAAAGCCAGACCAGGAAGGAAAATCTCCATTTAATCACCAAAATGGAGCTGTGGCTCAAGTGGTAGAGCACTAGCCTTGAGCAAAAATTGCTCATGGACAGTGCTCAAGCCCTGAGTTCAAGCCTCAGGACTGGCACAAAACCAGTACATTATCTTTCTAAATAAGTCCTACTTCTGTCAATCTAGATCAAAAGTTTGCATCTGATTATCACCTGAATGTAACTTCTCATCTCTAATTTGGTATACTAGCTTACTGATTACTTCTGTCAATGGGAATATTTCTATTTTTACTCTATGAGAAGAAAACTACTGTTCCTTGTGTTCTCAGGTACATTCTATGTGTCAGAAAAAGACCTATGTAAGAATAAGAAATTGAACTTAATTTGGTTCAAACCAATTTAAACTATATTATTCTCTCATGAAATAGTTTCCCATAACTCTCCATTCATATATTGCAAATCGTCACCAATCCAAATTTAAAATGTAGAATTATCAGTGACATCTCATTTACAAATAAAACAGTGAAGGCTCTTGTTCATTCTTTTTCTTTTTGAATTGTTTTTGCTTCTCCTAAGGCTTGAACTCTGGGTCTGGGCACTGTTCCTGAGCTCCCTTTGTTCAAGACTTGCATTCTACCACTTGAGCCACAGTGCCACTTCCAGCTTTTTCTGTGATTAATTGTAGATAAGACTCATGGACTCTCCTGCCCAGGTAGGCTTTGAACTGCAATCTCAGATCTCAGCCTCCTAAGTAGCTAGGATTACAGGCAAGAGCCACTGATGCCAAACTTTTTTGGACAATTATTATCTTTAAGTAGTTATTCAAAGGAGTGTCCATTCAGAAAAACAGTTTATTAAGACTGTGCATCTTGATCAGTCACCTCTTGCAACATTCCCACCCATCCCTCTTAACCCATCCCTTCCTTCACTTTTCTTAATTTTTGGACTATGTGTTTGATTTTTTTCCCATTAACAAAGCAGTTTATGTATACAATTCATCTTGATCTGTGTTATCCCTTCAGTCTCTTCACTCCCCTCTGACCCATTCCTTCCCTTATTTTCTTAATTTTGTGGTGCATACAATGACTTCTTGCCAGCATTATCTCCCCTTATACCTTCATTCTTCTATCCTTCACCCCTTGGCCCCACCCTCCCCCATGCAAATACCCATTTCCTGGTATTTATTTTGTTGTCTTTGACTTAGTCTTCCTAAATAATTATACAATTTGAGCTCTCCTTAGAGTCTATTATACTTTAGGTAATTCATTTGTAATCAGTTTCATACCACATAGTGTGTTTACTTACAGATTTATAGGTACACTCTAATTACCAAAAATGAGGAAACCCATGCAACCTGTGTTTTTCTAGGTTTGGCTTACTTCACTTATAATTTTTTCCCACATTTTTCTATTTCCTTTCAGATGGTACAGTGTCATTCTTTCTGATGGATGAGTAGAATTTCATTGTGTTGAGGGGTGTCCATGCTGATTTCCTAACTTGGCTATGGTACATAGTGCTTCAATGAACATGGTTGTGTTGGTGGCTTTACTATAACCTTGTTTGTGTTCTATTGAATAAATGCCCAAAAGTGGAATTATAGGGGTCATCACCTTGCACCAGCATCAACTCTAAATGGATCAAAGACCTCAATGTGGAGCCAGAAACCATGAGACTAGTGCAGGAAGGGGTAGGGAAAACATTAGGGCTCCTAGGCAAAGATAAAATCTTTCTGGGTAATGATCCAGAGACACAACAAATCACAGAAAGATTTTATAAATGGGACTGTATCAAACTTAAAAGTTTCTTCATGGCAAAAGACATAGCTAACTAAATAGAAAGCCCATGGAATGGGAGAAGATTTTTATCAATCATATATCAGATAAGAGCCTCGTATCCAAAATATAACTAGAGCTCAAAAAATCAAGCCCTCAAAAAAATAAACCATTAAAAAAACAACCCAATTAATAAATTGGCTAAAGACTTAAAGAGAGACTTCACAGAAGAAGTAAAAATGGCCAATAGATACATGAAAAATGTCCCACTCAAAACAACACTAAGATTCTACCTCATCCCAGTTAGAATGGCTATTATCAAAAACCTACAAATAACAAATGCTGTTGAGTTTGAGATCAAAAGGGAACTCTATTGCACTGTTGGTAGGAATACATTCCTACAGGCTTTTTCAATCACTTTGGAAAGCAGTATGGAGGTTTCTCAAAAAACTATACACAAAACCCAGAAATGTCATTCATTCTTCCTTCCTGACCAAATGTCTTTAGTTCACATGAGCATACTTTATACACCACCTATTTATCCCAGATGTTCTACTTTGGACATGATCTAGTCCATCCACTTTCTCCCTAAAGTCCAATCCCAAAACACAAGTCTTCTTATGCTGTAGTAAATGTGACCATTATAGCAGAATGGTTTTCTATCCCTTCTTCTCCCCTAGACTTTTTAACTTCACAAACACAACTTGAAAATACACATTTATTTCTGTATTGTCCATAACTATAATAATTTATGACTTTTCTATGAATTTTACTTAATCATATTTGTCAAAACCATGAGTAAAGTGCACATATGTTCCCATGTTTCACCTATCATTCCACAGACTGTTTTCAACGATGAAGTGGCAAATTCTCACAAAAGCATAATGGACAAACACATGATAGTTGCAAGGAGACAGAATCCATTCCACAGAAGTTAGTCACACACTACCTATATTTCTATCCCCTACATGGTTCTTTCTGTTGTGTCACATATTAGGGTGTGAGTTGCTCTGTAGGTGACATTCCACCAAATAACAGTCAGTAAGGACTTACCTGCTGCTACTACAATAATATCTGCTAACTGGGTATGGACCTTCAGTTGTTCTCTGGGGGTGTATCTGTGGGCAATTGTCACAGTTGCATCACCTGCAATGAAGAAGAATTCCCATCAATGTCTACTGTGTGTTTCCAATTTTTTTTTGTCAGTTGTGGGGCCTTGAACTCTGGGCCTGGGCTGGGGCATTGTCCCTCAGCTCTTCAACTCAAGGCTAGCGCTCTACCACTTGAGCCACAGTGCCACTTCTGGCCTTTTCTGCTTATGTGGTGCTGAGGAATCAAACCCAGGGCCTCATGCCTGCAAGGCAAGCACTCTCCCACTGAGCCACCTTCCCAGCCCTGTGTTTCCAAATTTTATGAATGTTTTAAAGCTAGAGAAGTTCGGGTTACTGCTTAACAATAGAAAAAAATGTTGCTGAGTGCTGGTGATTCACATCTATAATCCTAGCTACTCAGGAGGATCACAGTTCCAAGCCAGCCTAAGCAAGGAAATCCATGAGACTCTTATCTCCAATAAACTCAGAAAAAAGTCAGAAGTGGCACTGTGGCTCAAAGGGTAGAGCACTAGCCTTGAGACAGTGTCCAAGCCCTGATTTCAAGCTCCAGGACTGGCAAAAAAAAAGAAAGAAAAATTGCTTTGATGTCACAAAGTCACTACATCTACATGAACCAAAATATTTTGCATTTCAATTATGTGCATGGAAAAATCAAAGAGGATTCAATGAGGATACTTTCTGATAGTCAAGGGAGAGTATAAATCTTTAAAAATCCAGAATTTGAAAATTTTTTTCAGTTGGTTAATATGTCTATCTGGGGGATAATATGTTGACTTTCTGAAGAAAAATACTGAAAAGAAATAAGTGTTGGGACAGTAAATCATGGGCACACAGTTGAGAGATTAGTTTCACTATGGAAAGGTGATAAAGAAGGGATCCTAGAGAATGTAAAATATTGTTTAGGACTTCCAGCATAAGCATGAGTATATTAATCAGGAAAGGATTGAAAGGACATCGTAAGCTAAAAGAAAAGTAGGGTGGAGAAACACCTTCGAAATGATGTATTTGGAAAATAGTGAAGAAGACCAGAATAAGAGAAAATGTTTGTATGAAAAGTTCAGTTGTGCACCACTGTTGGTGAGAATGTAAACTTGTTCAACCACTTCAGTATGGAAGTTCCTCAAAAGACTAAACATAGAACTTTCCTATGACCCAGCAATCTCACTCTTGGGCATTTATCCAATTGACCACAAACCAGGCCACACTAAATCCACCAGCACAACCATGTTCATTTCTACATTATTCACCATTGCCAAGATATGGAATCAACTCAGATGCCCTTCAGTGGATGGATCAAAATAATGTGGCACATATACACAATGGAATTCTATTCTTCCATCATAAAGAATGACATTGCCCCATTCATAAGGAAATGGAAAGACTTGGAAAAAATTGTATTAAGTGAAGTAATCCAGATCCAAAGAAACATAGGTTGTATGGTTACCCTGTAAATCTATAAGTAAACACAATGGATAGTAAAAGACAAAAAAATTACACTTGGACATGATAAAATTAAATAGGACTCTAAACATTCACACAATGAGAACAAAGGAGGATATTCTTAAGAGAGGATCACAATGGTTCAATAGTATGTGCATATGATCATATAAAATGATTTTTTTTATCAAAATCAACTATAAGAAATGGTAACAAGAGGATTTTTTAAATTTTACTTTTTGTATTTTTTGTGTATGTTTTTCCCTTTTGTCGCTGTTTTTTTATTTCTGTACTGTTTGCCTTGCATGAAAGTTTATCTGGTTTGGATAAGGTAAGTGGGGAGCACAAAATGGTAGGACAAATGGTGAACAAATAGAGCTGTGATTCTCACTAGAGACTACATTAAAAATGAATTATACAACTGGTGAGGGGTGGGTTGGGAGGGACAAACTGGGAGAAAATGAGAGAAGAGATGACATGGTTCAAAAAGAAATAGAGAGGAGGGAAGGGATCATAGGAGAAAAACAAAGGAGGGGTAACAATTCTCAACAAGAAATGTACTCATTACCTTATGTAACTGTAACCTCTATCTTTAAAATAAAAAAATTAATTAACAAAAAAGCGAAACTCAAATATGGAGTTGAGTTAGGGATAAGTAGAGGTGTAAGCAGCCTGAGACATCCCAATGGTTAAAAGGAAAGGAAGGGTGGTGATGAGGGACTTTAGTGAATGTGGAGCTGTGTGAGACACTGTTTTCGTCCAGGAGGATAGGCAAGTGCTGCCCAGTTAACAACAACAAAATCTGCACAATCTTCATCTTTAGTTAAACTAGAACACATTTTCTCCAAAGACTTCAAAAACATGCAAGGATTGCCCAAAATGGCCATTAGCATGTAACCCACAGGGATAAAGAAAGCAAAAAAGCCTCCAAGAATAACATGATGTCAGCAACAGCAGATCTGTGAAAATGGCTGTGAAAGTGGTCATTCTGAGGGTAAAGAGCTCCCATCCAAAATGTGACAAGCATATCTTTCTCACTGTAGCAGAGAGTATAGGAACAATGACCGAGAAGCCCAGTTGGGCACAGTATAACAGACTGTGTGGAAATGCAGACCCACAAGGGAGTCACCCCAATAGGAAACAGAGAGAAAGAGGTAAGGAGATCAGGAAGGGAGCCTGCAGCTCCTGCCTAACCCATAGAACTATCCTACATGTAACAGATCCAATAAAAACAATGATGGGTAATTGGAAAAAAAAGAATTTTATGAAGCATAAATCAAAGGCCCTATGTAAGGTCAAGCCCAGGGAAACTGGTCTAAGACACAGACGAATAAATGCAAATGCTATTTGCATTTACTGCATAGAAACAATTCAACTAGAAAATTAAAATGGGAAGGGGAGAGAAAGTTTGCTAACATATAATAATGGAAGTCAAAAATATCATTTCAGACTTAAAGAGAAACTTCTCTGAAGAAGAAAGAAGGATGGCCAATAGACACATGAAGAAATGTTCAACATCCCTAGCCATCAAAGAAATGCAAA